ATTCATTGTTGCGATTCAACAACGAAAAAAAAAGTTTTATTTCATGAATCAGAAAAAGGCAAAAATTAATGATTTTTGTTGATTTTTCTGGTCATTTCCATTTCACGTAAAAAGTTTCATTATTCCTCTGAGAATAATCCGCAGTTCTACCATAAGTGGAGCAAAACAAACGGACAATAAAATAATCCAAACTCTATAAAAAAAGAGAAGCAAATGTAAAGAAGAAAAAAAAGCTCACATGGGGAACATATTTGCCTATAGGTTGGGGATGAGCGACGAGAAAAATTGAATTTGATTGTTTGTCAATGCGGTTTCTGATCATCAAACGATATATCCGAACAAAGGATCAAATGTAAACAAATCAAACTCCAAATTATTACTAAATAATCGCTTTTGTGTGTGTTCAACTGTTCATGGCGATAAAAAAACTCACATTTTTGTTAAATATTGAAAGGTTCTTTACACAAGAGTCTACAGTAAACAATTGGATATCCTTTTTCTGTTGGCCAAAAGTTGTGTTACATTACGAATAGTAAAAATGATACAAAACAACAAACAGAAGAAAGGGTGAAACGAAAATGTCTACGAGCGCACGTATTTATGAATGGACTTTGATTGTGTGTATTTTTTTCGCTCACACATAACTGAAATTACTAGTGAAGCATGTCATGTCACAATTCGATTTTGTAACTCGTCCGGTTTTGTTACGTATAAAAGTGGAACTTAGGATTATAGATCAATTTCGTTAAAAAAAAGTTTTTCCATTCCGCAATTAAGCTCAAAAGCATTTGAAGATCGCAAACTAAATGTAGATTGTAGAAGATTGTAAAAATGATGTATCAATTAGATCAGAGATCGATGGTACCAAAAAAAGAAAGAAAAAGAAATGCTCATTACATATATAGGTAGTATGAGAGACACATTAATAGTTATGACACACGCACTTATGTACATCAAACACAAACCAAATTTGTAATCAAAAACACGCTCTCACATACTACAAAGAAAAGATTGTTACCAATAAAAATCAATTCCCATAGCATTGTGAACGTGACTGTAATCCTTTATTTGATATTATTATTAGTCAACAGTTTGAACAATTGTGAGCAGCAAATTTTCGTCCAGCATCTGTATACCACTTACCCTGACAATAAATTTATCAAAACCGAATTTTCAATATGACCAACCAAACCGAAGATAAATATGGACGATGAATGAGTCCCAACGAACGAAAACATTTGTTGAATAATACATTGTTTCATTGGATATTACTACCCCTTATGTGTTCACTATAGTCACAACTGAGAATCAAGAAAAATCGGTACAACAATAAGAGACAAAAAGGGGGAGTCCAATCAAATTGAGTTCCACTTTTTTTATGATTACATTCAGTTGGAAGCAATTTGTCCCTTGTCTGTTCAGGGGAATCGATAATTCTTCAACACACTGTCGAAAACTAATTATTATTTAACCACATAAATTACATTTTTTTTGTTGAAAATGTGAAAACGTTCCGATCAATCAACATAATTCTCTGGCTGTCAAAAGCGTAATAAATTTTTGCTCAAAACACTTCACCAGTCTTCATCTTCATCATTAGGGTGGAACATTTTTTTGAATTTCGAGGCATATCTTGATAGGCCACTTGAGAAAACATGTCTTATAGTCCCCAGATTCAAGATATGAAGGAATTTTCAATTTGCGGTTCCATATAAGACAGCGACTTGAAAGGAAAGGATTTACATTTTACTGGAAAATCATGAAAATTTGCAGTGACCCAATCACCATGAAAACTTGTGAATCTTATTTTCTGACCAAAATAAGTAATATCACCAAGTTTCATGAAATTTCAACCAAAAATAAAGGTGCCTCCCATACAAAAATTTTATTTTTTTTCTCAAAAACAAAAAAATCGAAAGTTTTGTATAGGAGGCACCTTTATTTTTGGTTGAAATTTCATGAAACTTGGTGATATTACTTATTTTGGTCAGAAAATAAGATACACAAGTTTTCATGATGATTGGGTCACTGCAAATTTTCATGATTTTCCAGTAAAATGTACCTCCTTTCCTTTCAAGTCGCTGTCTTATATGGAATCGCAAGTTGAAAATTTCTTCATATCTTGAATCTGGGGACTATAAGACATGTTTTCTGAAATGGCCATAAAATTGTGCCAAAAATGTTCCACCCTATTCATCATCTTTTTTTGCCATTCGAAAATGTATGTGATTTTTAATTTCGGACAATAAAACAAATTGATAAGTCGCAAATCTTTTCGCAATAATACAAACGACATAACCAAATCCCATGATAAAAACTCATACGTGTAGTTTTCGATTGTGTTATATTGCTTTTTCAATACTTGTGCTTATGAATGCGAGACAAGTAGAGCATGATGATTGCGTGCAAAGAAATCGAAATCTACCAAAAAAAAAACTCCAATATTGTGTTGTTGGCCAATTCGTCATAACTTTTCACAATTTATCTAGTAGTTATGTGTCCGGTGCGGAATTTCATGGTCATGTATGATTTTTTGAAATAGAATTTTCTACCTACATCATTTTTCTTTTTGTAGACATTTTGTATATCGAATTCAGTAGAAAAGGTGGTTCTTATAAAATTCATAATGTATACACTGTACATATACGCAATGTATTGTTGTGCATAATAAAGAAGAACGAAAATGATGAGCATTGCATGAATGTAGAATGTAGGCTGTGGACCATTGACATTGCTGGAATGGAAACTGTTGCGTTGTTGGTTTTTTTTTTCAATCATCTAACCAGGGAAGTAGGATTTTTTTTATTCAAAAAAAATTACGCGTTCTCTACCCACAAAATTCCCTTGAGATACAACACTCTCCAACTACTTTCAGCCAAAAGTTCTCTTTAATTTTTCTTCTTCATCGCTTTTTCTCAATACATCTTTTTCGTTTGTATCTAACATTTCTTTCGCTTATTTCAACAATAAAAAATCATTGTGATATATTTCATTTTTGTGTCTTGGTGCTGCTGCTTATTTAATATGTGCTTGGCCTGATGCATTGTGATATTTATCCATTTCATCGTACTTAAAATTCATTGAGAGTGCTATATACGGTAAATGTAATTTGTTTTTTTTTTCTCTTATTCTTCTGTAAAGCTTTCCGAATTAATATTTTTCGTATGAAATTACAAAAATGTAGTGAATACTAGCTGGAAAATAGGAGACATTTAAATCTCCCGGCATAGAAAATCTAATAGCTGGAACATTTCGTGTGGTTATAGTGTTTCTTGAATTTTCTTTCGATTGACGTATACTAATGATACAGTCAATTTTTCCGGACATAATATTTTTTTTTCTTTTAAGCGCAACAATCATGTTCAGTCAGTTAAAAATCAAGTTAAACCAGTCATTGCATTTTGACCCCAAACAAAATAAAATTTTCCCTCCTTTAAACTCAATCTCATTCTCTTTTTTCACTTTAATCAGAGCCGAAGTACGAATAAGAGAAAAATTCGCACATACACTTCATGCAAAATATGAAAAATGAACTGTGCATGTAATCATTCATATTTTACCACTGTAAATTGGCCCAAAATTTAATTTATTTTCTTTTTTTTCGCCAAAAATACGATACATGTGGGTTTTTTTCTGGTTTCGCGGTTCGGTATTGTTTATGTTCACCAGTTCAAAGTTTAAAAAAAATTAACCGTTGCCGCTTTTTTTCATCATTGAATCTTGGCGTATCAGAAAACGTATGAAATAATAAATGTTTTTTTTTAAATGGGCCAGTATTTTCATTTTCCAAATCAACTTACAACAAGTAGTCGAGGCCCGTGATAATAGCAGAGTGCTGTAAAATACGGCTGTCACAAACGTTTTTCAATCGAAAAGAACAAGCAAGAGTAAAGGGAAAATTTATTCGAAATAAAGGTGCATATAAGCACAAGTTTTAAAGTGAAACAACAATAACAATAGAAAGGAAGATAGGAACAAGATTCCAAACGAACAACAACAAAAAATATGTAAATATTTGTAAGCCTAAGCGATGAGCAACTTGAACCCCCCCCCCCCCCCCCCACCATAAACAAAGCAATTCAATATGTAAAGTGAATATATCACAAGCAAATGGAATATAAAAAAAGCACCGACTGACAAAAAAAAATTGTATGTATGTGCATTGCGCACGGCAAGAAATTGAAAATCTAACTCAGTGTTTTCGAGTCGTGGATACAAGATATAAACAGCATATAAACGTTACGTATATTATGCATTCAATGAATATAATCCATTAAATTATCTCCGCATATGCTCTTTTTTATGTATTATTGTTGCCATATACTGGTGTTGGAATATCTCTTGTTATCTTTCCACAAGGACTATTGTTTGCTGTTGAAAATGATCGTACATCCTAAGCATACTTGTTTATTTTGCGGTGAACAGTGAATGTAATGCTAAGAAGAAGCGAATGCTTAAAAATTATGCATGTGAAAAAGTGAGACGGATTCAGTTCGTTTTTTATATTTATAAACACAGTAACACATGTAACACATGTAACTTAATCATTTTGCCTACACGTTTTTTTTTCTTCACCGAAATCCCATTGCAATTCTTACTGATTGTTGCTATTTAAATTTTAAATCAATTTTCTTGTTTTCATACCTGAAACTGACGATACCACACTTGAATTCCATTACATCTAAAATTAAGCAAAAATGATGTGATAGCAATCGATAGAGCACCGGAAAATACCCCGGGTATGGATAAGCATAGCCCCCCAAAAGGAGGAGGGGGGTCGGATGAAAAAATTAATGATGCAAATCGATAGAGCGCCCCAAAATTACTCTAGAAATGTCAATCTCTTTGGTACCATTATATTTTGAATACCCTAGAGGAAATTACGTAAAGTTTATCCCCCCCTTGCCCATGTATGATGTGAAGTTTTTCGAAATTTAAGATTTATGTGATTCATTTTGTTTTTATTGAATGGGGTTACATCAATTATAACACTAAATGGATGTGCTTGGAATAGAAAATTTCATTTATTTAACTGTACATTATAAAGTTGCGCATAAAAAAAGTTACATTTCAATTACCTTGTATGATGTATAATGTATACACTAAGCTATACTAACACTGATTTTCTTTTACATCAGTACAATATAATTAATTGGTTCTGAATACAATGCGTGCTGGCACTAAATGGCTTTTGAATTAATTTTTTCTCTTGACATTTATATATATATTATTTGATTTGTAAAAAAAAATTGTGGAATTTATCGGGAGCTGCCTTTATTATTTAATTATATATAAATATACATATATAATTTTCCTGAGACCTATTTTATCAACAGGTGTGTTTGCAATTTTATTTATACCGAGAATTATTTTGGTGAGTGCAAATTTGATTGGACGTAATTGTTTAGTTGCAATTTCATTCAGTGCCCAGAGTATGATAAAATCGACCCTTGAAATACTACCAAACCTCTTGCTATAAAATCGGCATCTCTTTGCTAACAATGTATGGCATTTTTAAAAGTTTTTCTTATCTTTAGCGGTGTTATAATCTCAAAAAAGAAAAAATATCCAATTTGCCAAAGCATAAATGTCATGCATATTTTTTGAAATGTGTATTTTAACTTGAGAACAAAATTATTATTTTATTCTGTCAATTCTTCTTATTTTTTCTATCTTTATTTTGACTTTGGTTTTGACAGAAGTCCTGTCACAGGACATATCCTTGACAAATCTTCATTGTCCGAATGTTTTTACAAAATATTACGGTAAAAGTAAAATACGTGTTTAATATCGATTTGAAAATCATTTCATCTGGCGAAAGACATAATGTAAAAAAAAATCACCAATCAATTGATCAATTCATGTGGATTGTTATTTTTGGTTGAAAGTTTCACTCGAAAAAGTGCAGCTGTTTGAAGCACTCATAAAACATTTAGCATTCAATTATCAGAGTAGATCTGGTAGTCGTGGCTCATCTTGTTGTAATAAGCCAGTTTTTTCTTCAAGAACAAAGTTTGATATACTCTCAATATTATTGCTAACACTGTTGTCATTTCCTGTGCCCACAAATGTTGGTTCAGCATACATCGATTCGTAAACTGGATTGTATTGATTTGTAAATCGACCCTGTAAAAAACAAACAATTATTTTAAACACAATTGGCTACACTCGAAATACGAAGCTATTTCATTTTTGAGTTGTTGCTACAATATTTATTTAATTCGAATTTTCTTCAAAAAACAAGAAATTACCTTTGTATCATCGGTTTGAATGAATGCGGGTGTGTCATCTAGCAAATCGCCTGAGTACATTGGATTTGTCATTTCAACACATTCATTTAGTCGGGCATGTGAGAAATGTTGACATATTCGACGTTTTCTGCAAAATCATTCAAACGAATATTAACTTATTAATTAATTATTTGGTTATAAAAATTAGAAAATTCGGTTAAAAACCTTAAAATGTAAAAAGCACCGCCAAATAGAACCGATATTAATGTAATTAGAATGATTATTAGAATGGAAACGGAGCTCAATGTATTATTCATAGATTCTGCTGAATAATATTTAGAAGATATGCATGTTTTTATTGTTCCATTCGAGCATCTGTGATAGAAATAGTTATTTAATACTTTATTCAAGACTTTTAAATGAACAGTCTTATGATCTTACAAACATTCGTTGATTGAACTGCCCGGAATACAGTTTCCACACTGATCCTGACAATATGGAGGGGTATCACATTTGGTGCCTATCCACTCTCCACTGCATATGCATGTCGGACGTTGCTGTGCATCCATTTGACAAATTGCACCGTTTTCGCAATAATCAAAACATCCATTTTCATTACTTTGATAGTTTTCACATCGCTCGCCAGAATAATTTTGCACACAATCGCAAATCTTCTCATTCTCCGGGGTAATTGTACAAGTGCCACCGTTTTGGCAATAATTTGTACATTCATCCAGATCACATTGTGCTCCCCAATAGCCACTGTTACATGTACACATTGGACTATTTTTGTGTACCGTGCATTCTCCGTGACCGTTGCAAAATCCTTCGCATGGGCTACTTTCGCATCGAATTCCTTTGAAATCTTTTTTACATTCACATCGTGATTTTCCCAGATGATTTTTTCGACAAATTCCGTCATTTTCACAATGCAAGTCATCACAATGTCGACATTCGGGTCCAGAAAAACCTGAATTACAAATGCAATCACCAAATTTTTCCGTACATATACCATTGAAGCATGGCGATGTGCAATTCGCAACAGGCTGTTCACAACGTGGACCCTCAAATGATGGTGGACACGCACATTTCAATGGTGGTTTCGAATTTTCATTATACAATTTTACTTTGGAAGCATCTATAAAGCATACACCACGATTTTTACAGTAGCCTGAACAACGATAGTGTTCACAAAAATCACCATCGTAATCGATTGGACATTTGCATTTCGGTTTATCGTTCACTATTTTACAAAGTCCCTGATTACCTGGGGTAAGTCACATAGAAAAAGAACGGAAATTAATCAATAAGTAATGGAAGTAATGGAAACATATAATGAAAATAAAATACATAGTTTAAAGAGCAAAGTCTGATTACATTTAAGCGGACATTTCTGGGTAATACTGCGACAAATCGACAAATAGCCTTCTACTGCGGCCATTTCTGATAAATAATCAGAACATTTACAGGTACGACCTAAGCGATCGCTTGATGAAAGCAAGCATACATGGTGATCTTCACATGGATATTTTTGGCATGGATTTTGAACTAAAAAATAAACAAAGAGAAAAAAATTATGTTATAAAGAGTTTTTATACTTCATTTTATTTTCTTACTTTTTGAATCCTGTCGAAGTGGATGTAGAATAAACAAATCTGATGCACGCTGAAAACTTTCTACCAAAATTTCACCTTGATCGTGTCCAAACTTATTTATTCGATAAATTGTTTGATCATACAATGTGATATACAAATTATCTTCAAATACTTGTATTCGTTTCGGCAACATAGCTGAAAACAATCAGAAATATTAAAAATGTGTACACATCTTTTGTGAATGTATTAAATGAATACTTACTTCTATTTTTAAATGTTGTGACAATATGTCGACCTTTTCCATTGAGTAGAATCGTTTCAATGGTGCCTTTGCGATGGTCAGCCCAATACAGTCTTTGCGTTGGATAGTCAATAGTCAAACCAGTTGCCCATTCAATACCCTGTTTAACAAGATTGTTTTTATCCGTGCCATCCATTGAAGCCGAAAAAATACCGTGGTCAAGTGTTGACCAATAAATCTTTCGCAAGTTTGGTTCAACAACAATGTCTATTGGTTGATCATCAGATGCAACGACCAATACATGTTCACCCCCATTCAAATCTGTTGAAACAATTTGACGTTTTTCCGCATCCAATATATAAATTCGATCGCTTACCTAAGTAAAAACAAATTATGTTATTATTAATTATGAAAACTGCATTATTTTGGAGTTAATATTCGCGTACCCAATCTATTGCTAGAGATTTTGGATTTTGTATTGAAGTAATAATAGTAGTGGCTTCTTGTTCTGCGGATCGTTTTGTTTTTCGCTTGAAATTACTATTGAATGTGGTTGTTGCTAGTTTTTGTATAATTCTATTCGGTGTCGTTATCCAATATAAATGTATGGTATCTGACAAGATTTGTGCATCGAATACATCAATTTTACTTTTTGATAGTGTTATTCGGCCGTGAATTTCGCTATCCATTTGTTTAGTTGGTAGCAGAAAGCGTAAATCTCTGTCTGAAGCAATCAGTAGCAATGGTTCTTCATTTGAAGAACAAGTATCATTTTTATTGAGACCTTTTGAATAGCCATCGGTACAACGGCAATTATAATTTCCCGATTTCTTTTCGAGACAAATTTGACTGCATGCACCAAAACTGCAAACAGATGACATGCAATTTATTTCATCTGAGCCATCATCGCAATTTAACTCGCCATCGCACAAAAATTGCTTTGAAATACAAAATTGATCACTTTCACATTGAAATTGTTTGGCCGTGCATTTATGGAAGCGAGCACAAAACGATTCATCGGAATCATCGCCAGGACCACAATCATTTACACCATCGCAAATTTGTGACTTTCGAATACAGCGTTTATTACGACAACGAACAGCACTATGAGCACATTGAAGATCAGCACACAATTCAACCGCCTCATCTGAACCATCTATGCAATCGTTCCAGCCTGAAACCAAAACATAAATGTTTAAAATTGGACTATTGAACATGAATAAATTATCCATTCGTACCATCACAACGCCATCGACTTTCAACGCAACGGCCGTCTTTACACTGAAATTGATTCTGATTGCAAGCACAATTCATTTCATCGATTCCATCTGCACAATCGATGTCACCTAATGTGAAAAAAGAAGAAGAAGATGTGAATGTATAAAGTTTTGAAAATCAAACAGACAACACTTACCGTCGCATTTCCAAACATTTGGAATGCAAAAATTGTGACCTGTACACTTGAACTCATCGACAGCACATGTTACATTGCAATTTTCTTCATCACTAAAATCAACACAATTTAATTCGCCATCACAACGCATTCTTCCTGCTATACAACGACCATTAGCACATCTGAAAATAAGTCATTCGGTTATGCGTTGTGTTCCATTTACCGAAAATGATAAAAAATAAAAACTTTACCTAAACTCAGACTCCGAACAATTGCGCATCGTACAATTGAGTTCGTCACTTTTATCAGAACAATCGTAGTCATAATCACAACGCCATCGCTGTGGTATACATTTGCCGTTTTTACATCTAAAATGATCTGGATCACTGCATTTTTTTTCTTGTGAAGTGCACGAAGTTGGCTCATCTTCTTTTGACGGACAGTCATATTCACCGTCGCAAGTCCAAGATTTTGGTATACAACGCCCTGAATTACATTTGAATTCATTATCGGAACAGTTCCGAGTCTCACAATTGTGTTCATCTTCATGCGTGGCACAATCGTTGTCTCCATCACAAGTCCAAACATTTGGAATACATCGTCCATCGTTACATTTGAATTTATCGCGTGGACATTCATGAAATTTACAATCAGATTCATCAATGTTATTCGGACAATCCTGAATTCCATCACAAATTTTCGTTTCATCAATACAAAATGCCGTCTTATTTCCATGTGCACTACATTTAAATTGCTTGTCAAAACAAACGAATCGTTCACAATTTTCGTTTTCGTCAGAGCCATCACCGCAATCATCTTTAGCATTGCAAATTTTGATCGGACTTATGCAATTTCCATTCATGCATTGAAATTGACCTGGTTCACACTTGAAATCTCTGCACGACACTGGTTCATCAGAATTGTCACCACAGTCATCTTGTCTATCACACAACCAATAAAATGGCACACATTTCTTTGTAGTGGCACATTGAAATTCGGCTGATGAGCAATTTGCGATGCACGTTTTATTATCGGTGTGCAGATAAAATTTATTTGGACAATCGCATTTATAGTATGGTGGATCTGGTGACAACAGACACAGTGTTTCACATTCAGCTGTCAAACATGCATTGCCCGAATCATCATCATCAAGTGGACGTTGTCGATACGAATGGAAAATTCGAATATCCATTGGTCGATGAATTGTTGTCAATAACGTTGTACAGTTGTCACCCCGATCTTTGTCACACGATTCAATCGATTTTGTTTCCCAATCACTCCAATAAATTCGATTCTCCCATACAGCAATTGCAAAAATATGATGTAAATTCAAATTAGGATTTCGTTCACGGCTCAAAATAATTTTTCGATTTCCTCCATCAAAATCACATACGGCAATAAAATCTTCGCGAGCATCACCCCAAAAGAGCTCTTTTGTTTCAAAGTTGATTGTCAATGCATTGGGCCAGCCAAGGCCATCTTCAACAATTTTACGTTGATTTGAACCATCCAAACCAGCTTTTCCAATATGCGGCCTATCACCCCAGTCACTCCAGTAAATATTCCTTTCGAACGGATCGATGGCAATTGCACGCGGCTCTTGTAAATTTGTATGAATCAAAACTTTTCGATATTTGCCATTTAATTTGGATACTTCAATTGTATCCGATCCTTTGTCACACCAATACAAATTCTTTGCGATCCAATCAACTGCCAGTCCATCTGAATTGAATGATTTTTGTTTAATTTAATATGCATTTAATATTAAAATATGTTATTTACCTGGATTCTTGAGGTTGTGTTGATGAATTTCAACGGTTTTATTATCCCATGGACACATTCGCTTAATTTTGCTAATTGTCGATGTAACATCTGACCAGTAATAGCATTTTGTTTCATAATCATAGTCTAATGCAACTGCATTCGATAAATTGTGCGCTATCAATGTTGAATGACCTTGTAGATCGGTTTCTCGCAAATAATAACGATTCGAAAATATCAATTTGGCTTGTTCGGTTGTAATGGCTTTGCAAATGTGTTTCTCTTTTAATGCATAACCATCAACACAGGAACAATGATAACTTCCGATTGTATTCGTACATATCTGGCTGCATGGACGATCCAAGCACTCATTGATATCTTCACATAAATTTCGTTGTTTGTGACTTACTTTGAATCCAGAATGGCATAGACATTCATAGCCATGTTTACGATCTTCACAAATATGTGCACACAATGGTTCAGACGATAACTTACATTCATCTATATTGCATAATTCTTCATCGCTAAAGTCCGTTGGACCACAATCAAATTCACCATTACACAAAGCTGACTCTGGTATACAAACACCATTTGCGCATCTGTAAAATTCCGGTGAAGCACAAATCGATGTGGTATTCATTTTATTGCACTGATCACCACTGCACGTTGATGGTCGCTTCAGTGCAGACTCAACGCATCCAGCTGGTTCGTCGCTGCCGTCAACACAGTCAGTTGAACCTGATTTAAAAAATTTAAGGATATTACAAAATCATAATAATAAAAACTTTTATTATTGCACATAAAATTTCTCAAGCAAACCAACACGATTTGATAAAAACAATGTAAACAAAATATTGGGTGTAGGCATTAATTCCTGCGGTTGACATTTAGATGTCGCCACATAAAATTGTGTGTAGCTTGACAGGTGAATCCAATTGCATTTTGTACATGTGACATTTGCCAATCTAATTCAGAGCAGAAAGATTTATTTTTGACACAGTGTCATTATTTTCTGATCGATTCAAAATGAGTGATGAAAAAGTGTTTTTCTATCTGGCCCTTTTTTGGTTCAATTTTTTCACTTTAAATAAAGTGAAAATACATCCAAAGGTTTTAATATGTTGCAGGAGACGAGACCTCTCAATCGCCACAGAGAATGTTGAATTTGGTGAAAAATAAGTGGTGAATTTGTTGAAAAACTGTGAACTCACCAAAAAAAATTGAATGATGGGCTATTGGCGTTTTTTATTTGATAAAGATGCATGAAAATGCATCAGAAAACATCAGAAGCATTAAATATATGCGAATCAATCGTTTTAAGACATTTGTAATGAGGTAAGACCAAAGAAATTGTGTGCCACACCAGATGAATCAAAACTAGTTGTAAGACGTTTTTTCACATTTTGGCACAATGTTCCAAAAATAGGAAAGAAAGGAATTTTTGTATCGTATTGTAACTGGAAGTGAAGAGGACATCTACTACGATAGCCCCAGGCATAAAAATAAGGGTTCAATCCCACACAATCATCAAAATCGATAGCATAGCAGGATTTTGATGATTTCTCGGTAATGCTCATTATTTGGTGGGATTAAAGTGGTGTGGTGTATAATGAGCTGCTGAAACCGGGTGAAACTGTCACGGGGGATCGGTATCGACTACAACCAATACGTTTGAGCAGATTACTGAGAGAAAAATTGAGAAAAACTGCGACAAGAAATAGTCTTTCAAAGATCGCAAAAAAAAAAGATAGGGGACTCTGGTCGGGGTGAGCTTGATCACCCCCGTACTCTCCAGCCCTTGCCCCTTCTGACTACCACTTGTTTCGATCATTGCAAATGGGCTTGTCTGAGATATCGTTTCGAAATTCTGAAGGAGTGCGAAAATGGGTCGATCAATGGATAGCTGGAAAAGATGAGGAATTCTTTCGACGCGGAATCGACAAGCTGCCAAGAATATGGGCCGAAGTCATAGCTAACGATGGGCAGTACATTGGTTAATGTACTCATTCTTATTATTTTTAAATAAATGTTTCTTTTCACCAGAAAAACCGCAGGAGTTAATGCCTACACCCAGTACTATACACGATTTAAGAAAATAGCATTGAAACGTACCGTCACAGAAGTAAACATATTCGATACACTCATGACTTCCGCATGTAAACATGTTTTCCGGGCATGTAATTGAATTGGTGCAGTTTGTTTCGTCTTCACCTGAATTGCAATCTCTTTTACATGAATCTGGAAATTCATCTTTGCCATCTGGACAGTCGATGTCACCATCGCAAACCCATCCCAACGGTATACATCGACCCGACTCAGCACATTTAAACATATCCGAACCACATTCACGAGACATACAATGTTCGCCTTCATCGGAACCATCCACACAGTCTGGACTCAAATCACTAAAAACAATGAAGAAAAGGCAACCGTAATTGAGCAATTTTAAAGTTTTATATAAAAATCAGCGATGTACCATTGCCAAGTAGATGGAATACAGTTTGAACCATCGGCACATGCGAAGTAATTTGGTTTGCATTCAGCACGTGTCCCATTTAAGTAACAATTTTCCTCCGACTCATCGGATGTGTCCGATCCATGGCAATCGATTTCTCCATCTTTTTTTTTTAAATGAAAACAAAATAATATTTGTTTGAGTATTGTTATATGCAAGATTCTATTAGACATTATATTGAGAATGCTCAGTCAGGCGCCGCAATCGTTATAACAATCACTTCTACTGTTTTCACTCCGTTTCAGTGACTGACGTTAGCTTCCTGAACTGATTCAGCTGGCTGAAAATATCTCAATACACAGAAACAAGTATTCGAGTACGCTTACTCGCACTTGCGGTGTTAGTAGAGACTTTACCCCTCAAAATGAGTTACGCACTCTATTTTACTCTATTTTTGGTGTTAGTTTCATCGAACGTATGTGACGATACACTTAGCAATCATATTCGTATACAGACTCACAGACTCATATGCACGCAACGAAACATAACTCGTTGAACGCATGCGGCAACGTACATATGTACAACACATGTATCTCTTTTTTCACTGTGATGCGCTTACTTCGATGAAACTAACACCAAAAATAGAGTAAAATAGAGTGCGTAACTCATTTTAAGGGGTAAAGTCTCTACTTACACCGAAAATGCGAGTAAGCGTACTCGAATACTTGTTTCTGCGTATAACGTCTGGATTCTATAGATTTTGTGACTTACCGCAACGCCAAGCAATATCAATACATTGGCCATTTTTACATTGAAATTTGTTTTCGGGGCATGTAATTTTTGGACAATCAGCCTCATCGCTGCCGTCACTACAATCCATATCACCATCTACAAAATATGTATACGAAATATCATTAATGGAAGAAACAAGCCGTTATTATGGATTGTGAATAGTTTTTGCACCGAAATATAAAACTTACCACAGCGCCATGAATTCATGTAACATGTTGAGCTATTTTCACATCTCAAAAATGATCCGGGCATTCCGGCGCACACTTTTTCAAGATTTGGACAATCCGCCATTTCGTCACTGCCATCAGGGCAATCAGCATCTAAAAAAATTAACGAAATTGCTTAATACATAAAATTGATTTAATCAAAGTTTTGTATACCTCCGTCACATTTGTACGATTTATCAATGCAATGACCAGAAGCGCACTTAAAATGTTCATTTGGTTTACAATCACAAATAATCTCATCGTTTCCATCACTGCAATGATCAATGCCTACGATTGCAGTAGAAAAATATATATTTAAATTTACTCAGTTAAAATTAAAAACAAACGATCACATTTTGCTGAATATATATGGCCACTATTTACGGTAGATTTCAATTAAAATGGCAAAAGATTGAAAAATTATTGGCGATAATAAATGAAAACCGTAATAAATTGTTAATATGTTCAGCATTTCTGTTTTTACCATCACACGTGAAGTTCATGGAGATGCATCGTCGATTATTGCACATAAAATAGTTTGGTGGACATAATCGAGTGTTGCAATAATTAGTATTTTCATCGCTGCCATCATAGCAGTGATTTATTCCATCGCAAGTATTTTCAAATGGTATGCATGTATCCTTTGATATATTCGTTTCGTTTGTTTGGATTCCTGATTTACATTTAAATTGTCCATTGGGACACTGTGAAGTTGCTTGAACACATCTTTTACCATCCATTGCCAATCTTCCGCTTGTGCATTCACATTTTATTTTTTCATTGATAAAGAAACAGGCATCTTCACAACCGCCATTCAATATCAGACACGGATTTGCATCACATACTTCGGTTGTATTGCTAATAGCCACAATTCCCATCAATCGTCCAATGTCCTTTCGCAGCCATGTGACATCACCGCCAGAGTATTTATTGACACGAACCACTGCACGTAATACCCAATCGGTGAAATAAAGATAATTTTTATATACTGAAATTGCGAACGGATGCTTTGGAGTTGAATGAGCCAAAATAACACGATGCGATCCATCATAATCGGCTCTTTCAATTTTATCGATTCGGGCATCAACCCAATACAATTTATGGCTTTCAAAATCAATTGCAATTGCGTTCGGCATTCGAATATCTGTCGTGATAATGCTTTGTAAATTGTATCCAGTGATGTAGCATCGTTGAATGGATGCCGCATCAGCATTCCAATTGGCCCAATAAATCATTCCCATACATGATTCAACGGCAATTCCACGCGGTTTGTCATGATTATTCAATTGAATTACTTGTTTCACCAAATTAAAATTATTTTCATAATCGGTTGTCAGATTATTGGTGTCAATTGATCTAATAGAAGCGTCACTGTTCGATGTCCAAAATAGATGTTCACTTACTGGATCATATACAATTCCTTCGACCGATACTTGTTTGCTCACAAGTATTTGATGATCGGTCCCATTGAAATAAACCCAATTGATTGAACTCGAATGCACATCCGAATAGAAAATACGACGTTTTGCATAATTATAACTCAATCCAATTGTATTTCGTAGTAATTTTGGATGTTGAATCTTTGGTATTGGACTGTTCATATTCAAATTATTGGTCAAATGAATACTTTCGATGGATACAACACGTGAATAAATCAGGAATTCATCGAAAGGCACACAAGATTTGCCATCATTGCCAACTTCACCATGCGAACAGGCGCATACCGGATGTGTACCATTAAATAGACAGAGTTCTTCACAATTACCTAAGGGGAGAATCACAAAAGAAAAGAATACAATTAATTTAAAAATCAATAAGAATTAATTAATAATAGACAGGCAATTTTTTAAGTGAATTGCCCCACACAATTACCATTTGAAATTGAGCAATTATTTTGACCATTTTGAACTTCATGCGAAAATATTTTTAAATCATTCAATGGATTCGCATAGCTAGTTAAAATCGTTCGAATTTGTGTTAGATCATCGATGGATGCCACTTTTATTGTTCCATTCTGATGTGAATTATCGGCCCAGTATAGTTTCGAATTGTAGATTGATAATGCTACAGGATTTTCAATGCTTCTGTTCAATGCAATCGATTTGGATTCACCACCATAATCCATTCGCCAAATTATCCGTGATGCTGACTCACACCAATAGACTATTTGATTGACTTTGTCAAGTACAAGATTTGTGATTTGTATTGATTGGTTCGAAAGGATTTTATAATCGCTGCCATCTAATCGTGAACGTGCAATAAAATACATGCCTAAACCGAAGAATAAATGATTATAATTCTTTATACGTTTCAAAACAAATGAAAAGATTTTACCTTTTTTATCACCACCAATGAAAAATATATATCCAACAATCGGATCAATTGCAATGCCACTTGGTTTATTGACGTACGAAATAACAACGTATCGCAGGCTTCCATTCAATCGTGCAACTTCGATAATATTTCTCTTTTCATCACACCAATAAATATTATCAGCGATCCAATCAACAGCGATGCCAGTAAGCCAGTCGCCACCGTTGGCATCAAATAGATCCATTTGATTAACGATAACTTGTCGATTGGTTCCATCTCTTTTGATGCTGGTTATTTCACCTTTGTCACTGTCAGCATAAAACAAAAGATCGTATCGATGATGATAGTCAATATTTGTGGCCAAGGAAATTCGAGGTATCGGAGGAAGTACATGGTCGTTGAAACGTAATCGATCTTCTATATTGGAAATTTTTTTTAATTAAAATTGAGATGGTTCAAAATGAATATAATTTGCAGTATACCTGACAATGTATCGTTCGTATTACTGTTGCTTCTTTTCAATCGAATTCCACGCAATTCGTGCCCAATTGAGTATAAAATAAATTCTTTTTCTCCAATACATTTGGACGAATTTCTTGGATCAATGTTATAACCAATGGCACACTTACAAACATATTCAGTTCTTGATGTGGCCAAACACAAATGATCGCATTTATTTGTGAGATTCGAGCATGCATTTGTGCCTTGTTGTGCACCCGAATGAAATATTGCCAATGAATAAACAATATCTTTGTTTATCCGTACAGTTGTACGATTCGTGCAGGTGGTTTTATCGCATTTCTCAATTTTTGCATCCGTTGATTCGGCAAAATAAATCTCATCTTTGTAAATTGCGATGCTTTCAACTTTTCTGTAACCGAGAAATAATTTTTCTGGTGGAACAACTTCATGAACGGTCGATGAATTTAAATTTAAGTATTCAACAGCACCAGTCTGTTTTCGAATGAAATATAGACGATTGCTTTCAATATCAGCGGTTAGACTTCCGATTGGCTGTGAACTATTCAGAAGTATTCGTCGATTCGATCCATCAAGTGAAGATTGTCCAATATAGAACATTGTACTGTTGTAATTCTCATAAGAGAAGTATAAGATTCCGCTGAAAAATAAATAAATACGTAAATTTCTTCAAAAATATAATTAATGACACACATGTTTGATTCTACTTACCTTGATGGATCGAGTGTTATTGAATTTACTCCACGTAGACCAGTGACAATATCGGCAATATATTCACCTTCTATGTTACAAACACGAATTCTTGAACTTCCATACCGACCAGCTGTGGCTATAAACATGTTCTTAGCGATATAATCAATGGCAAATCCACCAATATTCGTAAAATCTGTATCTAAAATAGTTTCGACATTGCCATTCGTTAAACCAGATGTTCTGATTTCATCGACTGATTTGTCCGTCCAATATAAAAGGTTATCATTAAACAAAAAATCAATATTGTTCATCTCCGGAACCTGGGTGGCATGACTTATCGTCGGAATGATATAATGATTCGTTTGTGGATTAATTCCGCGAATTTCCGAACCGACCAAAAACAGTAAGACTTCTTCATTTTGTATGCATGTTTTGTTGTCAGAACTGAGCTGCATCACATGTGGACATTCGCATTTCATTGTTTTTGAAATGCTTAATAAACACAAATGCGAACAACCACCGTTTTTATTTGCACATGGACTTGATCCTTCGCGTGGTTGTCTACTTGAATGTAAAATTTGTATTCCAAATGGTTGCGATGCTGTACGATCAACGGTTGTTACATCCGAACCATTCCATTTGTTCGCTCTCATCACCGAGCTCGTTCTCCAATCCGTCCAATAGACATAATTCTCGAATAATGATATACTGAATGGATGTGATAAAGTTTCTTGATCACGAATCACCAAATGGTGGTCACTTCCATCGTAATTTGTTGTATGTATCGAATCTGAATGTGCATCGATATAATAAATACGTTTTTGTGCATAATCTAGAGTAAGACCATTTGGCCATCCACCTAAAGATTTATCAACCTCAATGATTGTTTGTCGGTATTCGCCAGCCATCGAACAACGTTCAATACGCGGATTGCTCTTATCCCAATCCGTCCAAAAGAGTAAACCTTCACGTGGATCCAGAGCCAGAGCTCGTGGGCTATCCATTTCGCCGGCAATTAATGTACGTCTATATAAGCCGTTGATTTGAGCCACTTCAATTTGATCCAAATTCGAATCAACCCAATATAAATTATAACCGATCCAATCTACTGCCAATCCTTCAGCCGTTAACAAACCAGAATGAACGACAACATCAATATTTCGAATAACATCACCCAATAATGTTCCACGATATATTTTATCATCAATAACATCTGTCCAAAATATTTGCATTGTATCATTATCGAGCAAAAAGTCAATGGCAATCGTATTTCGAAGGGAAGCATAAAATTTTTTAACAGCTAATGTTCTCAAATCAACACCACGAATCTCTTCACGATTACTAAATATAACATACGGTGAATCTGGACTATTGCTGCGACATGTAAATTGATCATACTGCAACGTAAAACCATCACGGCATCTACATTTATATCGTTTTCCAACCTGTTCGCAAATTTGTGAACATGTGCCCCAATGTTCGCATGCATGTTCTGTACTACATACAAGTCCATTCGGTAGTAAAAACATATTCGATGGACAAGAGCATACGAAACCTTCGGGTGCATTATGGCAAATATGTGAACATTCGGAATTTTGATCACAAAGCTTATTCTCACACTGAAATCCTTCGTCAGAGTCTAGAATGATTAAAACCAAAAATTAGTATTTTGTCATAGTCTTACAGAGAGAGAGAGAATGAAATAAAATCATCAATATTCTCACGATCAGGACAGTCGATAACTTGATCACAAAGTTGATGAGCACGTATACAATTTCCGGTGGGTGCACAAACCCGATCCGGATGAGAACAGCCCATGTCACCAAATGTGAAATTGTGAGTTCTTTTTTTGAATGTTGTACAATTCAGTTCGTCACTCCTGAAGAAAAGAAAATAGTTATGTATACTTCTATATGCATTTTATCGAGAATGCATGTTTTTACTTGTCAAAACAATCGTGGTACTGGTCGCACCGCACTTCCAATGGCACACATTCTTTCCAGTTGGTGCATTGAAATTCATGAGGCCCACAATGATGTGATATCGTTATATTTTTATCGATTCGGTGAATTTTTGGTGTGGCCATTGCTGTGGTTTTATCAATACATCCAACTTCATCGAGTGAATTATAGCAATCTACGGTGCCATCACAAAATTTATCTTGTGTTAAACAGCCATTTGGATGGCAAAAAAACTCTCCCTTCTTGCATTCGTGCGAACAATGCTCTTCGTCGGAAGAATCTCCGCATTGGTTTATTTCTATAATATGATATACCACAAAGTATTAGAAATAAGATAAATTTGTTTTTTAACGAAAAAGAGATAAAATAGAAGATTGGAATATACCGTCGCACACATTTTCATATAAAATGCAAATACCATTTTTGCATCGAAATTCGGGACATTCGGTGCAATTTTCCGTTTCGTCGCTTTTGTCATCGCAATCAGCAGTACCTTAAAATAATAATAAAAAATCCAATATTGCAAAAAAAAATCCACGTAAAAATACGTAGCAAAAAAATAGGTACCATCACAGAGAAAATTTCTGGAAATGCATTGTTTGGATTTTTTACATTGAAATTTATCTGGTGGACAAGGAGTAATAGCACATCGTTCAGGGCTTTCGTCGCTCCGATCTTCACATTGCGTGATTCCATCACACAAAACAACTTTTTGTAAACATCGATTAACATCGCATAAGAAACCCCTTCCGTCTATTTGGAGATCAATATATTTGAAATTTAAACATAGGAATTCTTCAAATTAAAGCAACTTTTTTTTACCGTTGAAGGTACAGTTGTTATTTTTGATGTTACATGGTCCATCATCTGCATAAGATTCATCATCTGAGTACGAATTTTCTCCATTACTTTCATGTATGCAATCTGCGTCCCCATCACATAATGATGATGTATTAATACATTCGCCGCTACTTTTGCACATAAACTGACCTGTGTTTTTTTTTTTTTTTTTTTCAAATATTCGCATTAATTTTGAAAGATGAGTATTATTAGGATATTCACTCTTACCGGCAGTGCATGTATTTTTAACGGTTGTTTTCGTTTGACGTAAACATTGTGTTCCACTTGCATTCAAATCAAAATCATTACCACAAACACAAAGACATCCTTTTGGTGTGGCCAACATTAGACCTGGACAGGGCTTATTATAACATATCTCTGAATTCGATTGAGTTACATTATCGAAAATTTTGATGTGAGTTATTCGATGATTTTTTTGTGACAATAATGTGAATTTTCTAAAATATAATAAAAAATAACTTTTATTTCAATTCATAAAAAAATATGTTTCTACTGCATTTACCGTTGATTGTTCGCCTCGTTTACATTGAATTTCGTAATATTTCCGTTAGATGTGTCTGTAAAGTAAATGAATGCGTTGTGACTGGCCACTGAATATGGATGAAAGTTTCTATTGGCTTGTAGAATAATTTCACGATGTTTATTATCCAATCCAATTCGTTCAATGGTTTGCATGCGTATATCACACCAATATAAATAATTCTCAGTGAAGTCAATTGTTAGGCTAGATGGCCATTGAATGCTCGTACAATTGTTACTGTTCGAACACATATCAACAAATACAGTTTTATGAGTTCCATCCATCCTAAAACAACGAATAAATAATTTCAATATGTGAGAAAAAATCAGTCGAATAAATAAAAAATCTCGTTCTTTTCAAACGATAGAAGAAAAACTAAAAGATTACCATGATGCCATGATTTGTCCTATACTATTTTCGGATGCCCATGTTGACCAAAACAGTAAACCTTTGCTGGGATGCAACGCGATCGATCTAAGAAAAAATATTTATTTGATAACATAACTTCAAGAAATGAAGTTATGTTATCAAAATTAAACGAACCCCGCATTAACTATATGGATAAGTGTTTTCGTGATATTAGGATGTGCCAAATTGAAAACATCAATTTTTCTTGTGGATGCCCAGAAAATATTATTTCCCACCCAATCGTATGCAATGCTATGACAATGACCACGACCTTGTTGAATGACAGTACGTTTCGTTCCATCCAAATTTTGTGATTCGATTATATACTCATGGCTTGCTCTAAACAACGAAATAAAAAGAAAACATATTTTAAAATTACAAATTAAATTGGAATTATATAGAAATACGTACATGTCATTTTGTCCAAAGTATATCAGTTGATTTTTCATATTATAATCCAGGCTGAGTGGTCTTTTTACATTTAAAATTGGCACCATACATTCTTGTGCATCTAAAATGTCTGTTGTATTCGAAATCGATATACCTCGAATCATATCTGGACTTTGTTTGGCATATATTAAAAATGAATTTTGTTTAATCAAAACGCATCTATGTTGATTTTTTAATTGATAGCCGGCACTGCATATGCATTGGGCTTGTATCTTTTTTGTTATACCATAAGCCAAAACGCACAAATGCTCGCAATTCATCGAATGTGTTGTATTATTCGAGCACGGATTTGGATCAATCCACGATTTTGGTGCATTTGGTTGACTTTGAGCATGAAATATACGCATTTCAAGCGGTTGCTCTTTAGTGACAAAAATTCTTTCAACCGAACTTGTATTACGTCGATTGATGCGCCACATCTCTAAATGTGACATCGATCGCTTTGTTATGTAAATATTACTTTCAAACAAAGCGATTGCGTGCATTGGTCGCATTGAACTACCAATAAGTGCTTTTAATGACCATCGAGTGTTGCCACTGTAATCAACCCGTTCAATGTAATCCATGTACTTATCAAGCCAATAAATCTGTTCATTTGCCAAATCCAATTTCAAACTAGATGGATAGAAAATCTTGTACGAATCGATAATTGTCTGATTAGAACCATCCATATTTGCTTGAAGTAAACTGCCAAACGAATCTGATGTTGTGAAAAATATTAAACTGTTCGTCAATTTCGAATGAAAAGAAAAACATGGATTATTTACTGTTACACAAATATTATTTAAAAAAAATATATTAAATTAAAAAATTTACCCGTTGAGTGGATCTAATTCCAGTGTGTTTATTTTTTGGCGGCTGATTTCAACAATAATTGAGCACAACGTCATTGCTGGATTACATAAAACAATCAATCCATTCTCAGTATTTACGAAATACCAGTTTCCTGTAATCCAATCGATTCTCAAGATATCAACGGCTTTGAATAAAAAAAAAATCGATACATTAAATAATACAGTTTTTTTTAAAGGATCTGAATTTTATAATAGGAGAGAAAAAAACTACTTAAAAATACTTACAATTCAATCTCGTGATGATTTCTGGCTTTGGAAATTTCCATATTTCGTTGAAATTGTCGACATTAAAACATGTCAGATCTTTGGGATTGTTGCTATTTGATCCATTTATGGCACAAATTGTTCGGTTGGCATGCCAAATGTCAAACGTTTGAATATTTGCCTATACGTATAGAAAGCAAACATTGTCAGTGATGCTAATTAAAATGAGATTTGTTTTATTTTAGTTAAAAATCGGCTTACCAGATATTGTTGACTTTTATTGAATGATTCGCTGCCAAGTGGAACCTTTTTAATATTATTTTCGGTAATAAATATAATGGAAGCCGTTTCATTAACAGGATCTGTGGAATAACGCGAAGCGTAATTATTTTTTTTAGCAATGGCAGAACAATGCTACACTCTTATATCGGTGGTATTAATATTTAGTATTTTGGGATTTTCAGCTACGATTAATCCAAAAGGACTAAAAAGTAATCCAATGGGATCATTTTGTATATTTTTTAACTTGAGTTCAATAAACACTTTTTTGTTGTTTGTAAAAAAATATCTCAAAATGAATCTTCCTTTGGAACACTGTTTCATATTGTATTGACATTTACATGAAACTTCAAATGCTTGTCATTGTCATTCGATTGCAAACATAACCTTTCACGGTCTTATGTTTATTGTGTAAACCACGTGCACCGTTGTCGAAAAAACTAAATTTTGTTTCTGTTGGAATTTCGATTAGTTTGTTTATTAGAATATAATTCTCAATAGAATCCTTTTTTCCATCGCTTCTGTGCAATTTATTAGATTTCTGATAAAATGTTTTATAGCTAGTGAAAACAAAGTAAAGAATTGATTAGCGAATGGTTTTCAATAGAATTTTGAGTCGATTCGCATCAATATGAACATTTCATGTCACAACCGCTTTTGTGTGCTCAGTGATTTTTTTTCAAAAGGGTAACATGGCAAACATTTTGCAAAATTTTCAAAATCCATCAGAATCTTGAACAACCGAAACACTATCGTAAAATGCGTGTTGACGAAAGATTATTTCTTGCTTTGTTGACGAATGATTTTCAATAAGATTCTTTTGCATCGAATATCAACATAAATTCCGTATCACACCTTTGGGAGTGTAATTTAGCGAACATTTTGTCAGCATTTGAAATCGGACTGCAGAATTATGAAATTGTATTTATGCAAGAGTGAAATGAACGCATTGATATTTGTTTATTGTGAACCCGTTCGATCACATGAATCGGTGATTGTATATTTTGATAAATTTTTAGAGGCCTGTTTTTAAAATACCAGGAACCTATAAATTCATCAACAATAATACATTGCTAAGTCAACCGATTTTTGAGTATAATTAATAAATTTATTTGATGGCATGCATAGTCTATCATAGTCATTGTAGTTTTTGATAAATATAACAGTGGCCTGAATATTTTCAAACCGGCACTTTTATATTTATCAAAATATATTTTGATTATTCATCAATATTTCGAGGTATAAATATCGGTGGAGATTCCAATACGTTAAAAGTTGCTAAAAATGAGCGGTCGCAAACGGAATCACGAATCGGCGTTTAAGCCACGAAAGAAGATAAAAATTAAAGAACACCAAACAATTAAAAAAAGTGCTCGAAAAGGTTTAAAAGTGAATCTGCCCATTAACACTGGAAAATTTGCTCAGTTGATTGACGTATACGTATTAGAAATGACACGGTGCTACATATTGGGTGCACTGAATTTGCATTATTTCACCAGTGATCATTTCAAGCGCAGTACAGACGAGCAAATCGAAGCATTCTATACTCAATTCGTCGACAATTTTTTTTTTCGAGATTGGTTTTACGGCGTTCAGTTCATTGAGCATGCATTTAACGACGCCAGAGAAAGCGGGTACAGGTTGTGTTACGGCATTTGGTACTATTGCCAAAAATACGGTGTTCGAGCTCCAGTAATTGGAGGATTCGGGAATGTAGTTGAATACGCAGTACAAATGTTTTATACAAATTACAAAAATAATATTTGTATGCACGCTCACTCACGCATCCGAAAGTTTTTCACACATCAAAACGCGAGCAAAGCACAAATTGATGACACCATGGATTTCTTATTCAAGCAAAACTCCAACTGTGTGCCAGACCTGGATTTGATGTGGGAACTGGAAAATACATTAAAGCCAATCCGATTCGACGATGGGAAAGGGTACTTTTTTGCTATGGAAAGCAATTGGTTCAAATACATACCAATATTCCTGAATTTGCAACAGTGAGTTTTCGTTCATTTATTATTGTGAATCAAACGATTGTATTTTTTATGCGATTTTTTTCCATTTTGAAAATTCTACAAATATCACACGAGTAATTTTATCAATTTATTTTTTGGAAAATATACAAAAATAGGTACATTCGCAATCATGAACGTGAACGAAAAGCCGCATTGAAGCGAGGTGAACGAACCGAGCTTCGTGAATACAGAAATTTCACCGTGGTACCAACGTCATCGTTCGAAAGACATTACATTCGAATTGATCGTAGAGTGTTTTATCGCATGTTGAGACAGATAGAATGTCCACATCGGTTATTTCGCAATAAAAACGGCGGCCCAAAACAGGAGGAAGACATCAAAAATAAAGAATGGGATGTATTATGGCGTCTGTATTTCGACATCGATAGCATCGAAAGAGAACCGAGAAACAAAAATGATGGCCATGCAACAATAAAATTCGACAACTCCATTCAAACAGATGGTGTCGGTATGTCATTTTTGATGGAACGAACAAAATTCATCATTGAAAAAGACGATGAAGAGCGTATGAAAGAGACACAAGAGATGCTTCTGAAAAGCCAACAAGTGTATGGTCTCGATCCTGGACTACGTTTGGTCATTGGTGGTGTGCGCATTAACAATTTCAACGATCGAAATAATCGCACTGAAACAATCATTCGATTGACATCGGGCCAATACCAAGATATGATAAATTCATCGCGACGGAACAAATGGCGCAAAAAGTTGACAACTGAAATCGATGAAAAGATGCGTCTACATCGTGAGTCATTTGATGAGCAGCCTGGTCCACGAGCCGAAGACCATAAATCATATGCTGATCATATTTTGCGTCATTTTGAAGAAAAGTTCACAGCATACACACAGTATGAATACGCTTTGCAAGCATTTCTCCAGTATATTGACACGAATAGAGCACTTGATGCATATGCAACCAAGCTCATCGATGGTAAGCAAACGTTCATATTTGTCGGTGATCGTTTCATTGCGGCAGATTCACCAGCCCGAGGATATATTCGATCGAAGGTGCGAGATTTGTTCGAGAAGTTGAAACGTCGCCGTAAATGTACAGTGGTCGAGGCGGACGAATTTCGGACGACCAAATTATGTTCGTTGTGCTTCCGTGAACTTGAAAAACCGACAAAAAGAGGCAAAGTAAAGGAGAAATATCGCTATCTCACATGCCATGGATGCGAACCATTGTGTGGAGAAAATGTGCTTGGAAAAGCCCAAGGTCCGATTGAATCACGAAAAAGCAATCGCAAATTGACGCAGCAACGAAAACATCGTCCCCGTACTGATGGTCCACGTATGGCATCAAAATTTCGTAAATATGAAGAGAAAACTCAAATTGGGCGTACTATCACCTGGAATCGTGATGCAAATGCAGGTCGTAACATTCTCTACAAAGGTTTGTGTTTGTTAAATTGATATGCTCTCAGTTTAATATGAACAAGTCAATGAACAATAGACAATGAATTCGTTTTTTTTATTCCTTACAAACAAACAGGATGGTGTGCTGTTATGAATATAGAGCTACATCCAGCATTTCAACGGAATGTTGAAGAAGAAGAAGAAAATGCAGGAGAAGGAGATCCACCGCCAGCACCACCAGCACGAGCTCGACAATCAAGACGAGCAGCATCCAATCAAGTATGTAATCATTTCAATAATTCTGCTTTGAATTTATCTAATCAATTGAAGCTACACATACTTTTAATTTACGTTCATATTTAGAAATTGATATAATCATTGTCATTTTCAGAATCAACAAACAACACAACGAACATTGCGTTCTCATCTGGATCAAGCGCGGAGCTCTCGGCCGTAAGCCCTGGGTTTTGTGCGGGATTTCAACGTGGTCCTACAATTCGCTACAATTAGTAAGTATTTAAATTTAATCCTACAGTGCTAAAATTTAATCCTTTTGGATTATTTTGATGAAAAATCCCAAATGAATAATATTTAATCCCTTCTATTTTACAGTGTACTGAAGTACTTACAATTGATCGCCTTACAAATTGTTTTATTAACTAACTCATAACCATCCACACACGAGCATTCGAATGAATTGGGTATATTTTTACATATTTGATCACAGCTATCTGTTGTCAAACATTCGTTTATGTCTGAAATGAAGAACAAACAGACAGAAAAAAAATTGGTATTCGACGAAAATAAAGAGACATTTTATGAAAATATGTACAAACCATCGCACTGTGACCCATTGGGCTGTTGTCCATGATTGCAGTAGCATTTTGCTCCAAGTGGTGTTGGTTTGCAACCATAGGAACAATTCAAGGCAATGCAATCCGCTTTTAACGTGCCATTATCTTAATAATTTATGTGAAAGAAAATCAGCAAAAAACATTTGAATAGTGTTCATATTTCATATTTGATCTGTTCACCTTACCACAGTACTCGGTATATTCGTCGTTAACACAGTGAAAAGTTCCATCGCAGAATTTTTCGGTATCGATACAAACAGGACCAGTGCCACTTGGACTGGCGCATTCACTCTGATTTGGTAAGCATTTTTTTAACCGACACAAAGATTCGTCTTCGTCAGACGTATCAAATGGCCCACCTTTATTTAAAATATAAATATATTTGTACAACTTTTAATGATGATAGCAAATTTTTTAAGGATTCAAAATACTTACAGTCACTTGATCCGTCGCACAACCACTTGCGTGGTATGCACCGTCGTCTAAAATTAAAATAATAGATTTTCCTTATTGATAAAGTCAAAAGAATGAGATTTTTTTTTATATGTATAAAGAATGGTATGTATACGTTTTCCAACATTCGAACTGTTGAGTGTTGCATTGTTGAGTTTTATCGCAGTTTCCTTCATCCGATCCATCGTCACAATCGCGTTTATTGTCTACGAATTATCAATAAAATACGAAATATTATTAATGAAGTGAGAAGATTCGATGTATTTCAATGAGCAAAAGTTAATATAACAATTATTAACGTGAAGTCAATATCTATTTAGTATGTAAGAAAGTAGTAAGGGTTTGATCATACACATATACACACATAAATTAAAAACAATTTGCAAATGAAATGAACGAAGCTGCGTTAGTAAACACTTTGCTGACAAAAATTGAGATTTGGTAGTAGTAGTAGTAGCAGAGCAGAGCAACGAAGGAATCATCATTGGATACACACTATCGCATTAACGTTGCATCGACAACATGGCTCAGCACACGAACAACAGAGATAGCGAGCCAAAGAGAGGGAGAGATTACTTAGCACATTGTGGTGAGTAGATTTGAATACATATTATGTTTGGCCACTGCGTTGACATCACAAACACAAATCGCCTTCAACAATAAGCGATGCCACACCGTTTAGTTTAGTTTTGACGTTTGAAGCAACAGCACATTTCATAACTAAGTTATTCAATTTTCATATTGCATACAAAAGTAATGCGCGCAGTAGCCGATTTTTGTGCGTAATAAAAATTCATTTATTCTAAGAAAATAGTGTGTTTGTACTTGGTACATTTTAAATTACAACACGAACTCAACCGAGACATTTTTCCAAGTGAAAATTTGAAAAGAAAAGTGACGAAATAAAAAAAAAATTCATATAAACACCGGTAAATATTTGATGTGTAAAATATATTTATATATTGTATATAAAATGATGTCAAATGAATATTTGTCGGCTAAATAAATTTTGCATCATTTGTTTTAGTGAGTGTTTTGAAAAAATAAAATCAAGAAAATAAATTTTGTCAATTTTGCACACTGCACGTGGATAAAAAGTCAATTTAACCGTAAATCTTAGCCGACGAAGCAAGTGTGCAAGTTCCATTGAACAAATTCATGTTCAAACATGAATTTAGCATTGCGCACAATACAGAATGCAAAACCGTTAGGGCATTAGCAATGCGTCGTAGTTTCTCAATATTGTGCTTATGTCTTCTAATACCTGCTTCGATACAATTGAATTTTTTTTCGATTTTTTTTGTAATTTTTTTTTGCTTTCAATATTGATTCATTGTCAGGCCCAATATGTCCGACACAATGGGAGGAAATGACAGCAAATTTTAAAATTGGCGCGCTGTTTAGTTTCGATTTGAGTTGTAAAATTACATTGACGTCCCCTTTGAAATTCGGTGCGCCACCGTCGGCTCAAAAAGACTTGAAGTCTTCACATCCTCTCATTGGTCCGACACATCAAGTGGTGACGACGATGATGGAGACGAGGAATGTGGGGTGGAGCGCGGAAATGTGGTAAGTACATTTGAATTTTTTTTTACTTGTACAATTATTGTTGTCACTTTTTCAACAGCATATTTTATTGATGTGTACATTGTATTAATGCAATTTTTTTTATTTTTCCCCTGTCTCTATAGGTTTCAAACCTAGCGAAGATAGTAGTGACGATGAGCCACTAGCGGCCAAAATAAGACGTACCGAACAACCATTTAATTCGGTAAAAAAAATTCATTGTATAATTGTATACATTGTATTAATGCGATTTTTTTATTTTTTCCCTGTCTCTATAGGTTTCAAACCTAGCGAACACTCAGCCAGTTGTTCGATTGCAAAGAATGAGCAATGATTTGTTACGGCAATGGAATGTGCCGCCGCCAAA